CCGGTTTTGGGCGGCATGTGCCCGGGTTTTTGTTTTCTGGGGGGGGGGGGGCAGCCCCCATCCTGCTGTAGGGGTGGGTCAACAATCCCGGTGACCCTGGATGTGGGCTGCCTCTAGCTCCATGACCTCCAACCATTTGTCACCCACCCCTTGATACTGAAGTGTGGATTCACCTTGTGGCTTCTTGCTCTTAGACTTTACCATGAGCTGGAGGATGGGACCTCCTGGGGAGGATGAGAGGTTAGTGTCAATGCAAATGTCTCTGGGTAGATCCTCCGTGTCTGGCAGGGATATGGGAGGGCTCGGGGGACTGGAAGATGGCTGCCAAACAACAGGTACAGCTGAGGAAAGATCAAGGACAGGATCAGCTGGTCACAAAGAACAAGAGATGTACGGCGGCAGCGGGGTGGGGTGGGGTGGGGTGGGGGGTGGTCCTTCCTCTGCCCCTTACCTCCATCCTCTGGTGCACTTACACTCCCAACCTGCTGCACCATGAGTTTCATACCACCAGGGAGCAGAAGTGTATGCTGTTCTCTGCCCCAAGGCCCACAGGGGACTCCAAACATCTGTTATAGTATTTTGAATGCCCTGACAGTGAATGTCCAAATCTTAACGTAGTTGTGGAGCGTGATTCACTGGTACCCAGGGAAGATGGATATCAGGACTCCTGGGTCCTATCCCAACCCTGGGAGAGGAGTGGGGTGAAGAGGTTTCCCCCCTCCCACCTCTTCTGTCTGCCCACGGACAGTACACTTTGCTCTGGACATCATCACCTCCCCTGTCCCTGCCCCCCATGCTCCATACCTGCCTGGTTCTGGATTTGGACCAGGCAGTTGTTGCTTCTCCCAGGGGCACGGAGTCTGAGCCCTGGCATGTCCTTCAGACAGGAGACCACGTCCCTGTAGCCTGTGTCTTGACTCCAGCACTCCAGGTCAGTCCCATGCTTCTTCACCAGTATCTCCTTCAGCTTCTTGACCCGCAGGCCACTGGGAAAGGGGGTCAGAATATCTTGGATCAACCCCTCCAACACATCCAGGTCTGGAGGTAGGAGACAGAATGGTTTCACACACTGAATGCTCAGGGATGCACTTCCACCTTCACACAACCAAGGGGACAGGATGGGGATATGGCAGGGGCCCCCCTCCCGCAGCTGTTCCCTGCCCCCAGGTGCCCTACGCTGGGGCTGCTGTCTGCCTCCCAGGGCCTGTAGGAGGAGACAGAACTTAATCTCTGAGACTTTTGGCCTCAGAAGCAGCAGCAGGAAGATCAACCTTCCCCAATGGCCAAGGTGCCAGCTCCATGAGTCTCACCCACTCTGCTGGTTCCAGCTTTTCCCCACCAACTGCATGGTTCCATAATGAGCAGTTTTATAAGCACTTTTTGAACAGACTGTGCTCAATAGAGAATGCAGGGGGCAGCAGGCGGCACCAGAGCAGGGGCATGTGAACCACAGAACAGCTCCAGTCTCCACGATGTCTCTGGAATGCATCCATCCCTTCGCTAGAACTGGGAGTCTGTTCCTGGCCTTTGGATTCACTTCCTCAACCAGTGGCGCCTGCAGACTGGAAGGGATCTGCAAAGTACTGAGTCCATCCACTGCAGTTAGACAGGCCAGAAAATCCTCGCTGCATAGTCTAGCCATGCTGCAGCCTAAAACCAGGTTGGAGACTTGAATTCTAGTCATCTGATGTGAGGTTCAAGTCATATATAAGACTAAACTTATGGAAACATCAAGGCGAGCAGGCCAGCAGACCTTTGATAAGGGTACAAGGTGGAGTTTTGGGAGAGGGTGAGGTATAGTGGATTAGAAAGGAGAGGTGTGGGAGCCAGGACACCTGGATTTTATTTGAATTCCAGGAGAGGAGTGGGGTCTGGTGCATCAGATCAGAGGGGCTGATGCCAGGGCTCCCATGACACCTTACCTGTCTTCAGTCTGACCAGGCACTTTTCCCCTCTCTCAGGGAAGAGAAGCTGGACCTCAGGCACTTGCTGCAGCAGCTCCACAGTGTTCCCATACCCGCCATATTTCACAAAATCCTCCAGGTCCATGGCCTGTCTTTGGCATAGCACCTTCTTCAGTGTCTCCACTCGCAGGCCACTGCTGTAGCCACGGAGACATTCTAGGATGGCCGCTGACAATTGGCCCAAGCCTGGAGGGAAAAGAGACATTAGCATCTGTGGGGGTTGCCTGGGGATAGCAAAGAAATGGGGATGCAGGGAGTGATGCATGGTAGGAAGGAAAGGCTTTTAGACCAGTGTGAGGCATTAAAGCCCCAGTGGGACATTATGATGGAGAGTGCCACTTCCCTAGTAGCAGGAACAAAGCACACTGGGGTACAGGTCCTGTGTGTCCAGACAAGCCTATGTCCCCCAAGAGGGGGTTGCTATTGGGAAATGGCAACGGGTTAGAAGCAAATCAGGCCTTGGAGAGGGGGCAGAGAAGGTAGGCAGCGAACGACCATCTTTAAGTAGCCAGGGTCCTTGGTAGCTGAATGGATGTTTGTCTAAGAAGCATAATCCCCATTAACATAGCCCAAGTTGTGAGTTCAAGTCCCCAGTGTGCCACCTTGACATCTCTGCAGCCACTCAACTGTTGCTGCTGCTGTGCCTCATATATCCAGCCCTCTCCTGCCCCTTGTCAAGATGCTCACCAATTCCTCATTCATGCATTCCCTTTTTCTCCTCTGTCCTTCCCATTCCACAAGGAACACACACAAGTTCAGTATCCGTAGCCTGGGCAATGGAGGGGGGGCGGTCCTGTTCCACTAAAAACAAGTTCCCCATAACATTATCTGGCCTTCACTTGTCCTACTGAAGGGGCATTGTTTATAGTACTTTGACCTGGGCATGCCTTGTTAGAAGCCAGGTTGAGACCTGACAAACTTGTGTCACAGTGGGGGGGGAAGAGAAGGTAGCAATGCACTAGGAGAGTGGGGTGCTCAACTCTCTCTGACCCCATCCAGCCCTCACCCACACACTGAGGGGGCCTCAGTAACAGCACAAGGGCCTGCCTCTGCCTTGCTGGGCCCCAGGCTAAGGTATCCAACTTATCAGTGTAGGCCAAAGAACCCAACTCTAGTGATCCTACCTGGCTTTGGTCCTGCCAGCTGGGTCGTCTCCACAGGATCCAGGCAGGCAGGCTGGATGGCACAGGGGGCATCATTGAGCTTGGCCCAAGAGGGTACGGGCACATCCATGGTGACTCCTACAAAAGAAATGAGGAGGTCTCTATGCTGGTATTGAGGCTGGATGGGCTATGCTGTATCCTGCAGGGGGGAGGGGGTGACTCTCATGGCAGGGCAGGGCTGTGCTATACTTGGTTCAGATGCCTCTGAGCACCAGAAGGAGTTGGTGGATATTTTCCCCAATGTAGTGGGGTATAGGGCAGGGGGAGATGCAGCAGTTCTCTCCCACCCCAGGTCACCTCCAATCCACCCATCCCAACACACTGTACCCCACTCTGCTTAGCCTCAGAGGCCATGGTCAACCCCTCCCCCCTGCCGCTTTGTCTGGCTCTTCTCTGCCTACAGTGCTTCCTCCACACCCAATGCCCAGCCTGTCCCCAGCTCAGAGCTGCCTTTCCCTGAGCCAGATGCCAGAGGTTCACCATTTGCCATCTGGGGACCCAGTACAAAAAGGACTGACTCTGTATTGATTCTAAGAGGCTGCGATGCAGCTCCAGCTCTTACCTGCATTCCTGGGCTGCATCAGGACTGAAGCCAGTTCTGGTCCTGGTCCAGGATCTGGCCCCAGGAGCAGCCATCCTCACTCCCCAGCTGCAACCCACTCTCCCCTTCTCTGGTTTCGTTTCACTGTGATTCTATCAGATCCCACATGACTGTGCATAATTCTATTGGCTGTGGTGTTGGGGGGTGGGGGAAGAGAATGCCTCCCTCCTTGCTCTTTTTCCTCCCCCTTCCTGTCTCAGCCCAGTCTTTGCTCTGCTCACTGCCAGGTTACAGCAGGGGAGGGATACAGTCAGGATGCTCAAATATTCTCCTTGCTCAGGCGCATTGTTTCTCACCAGAGTCCATGTCACCCCAATTGCTGTGACTGTCCATCCCCTGGCTGCAGCAACAGCAGGGCTCCTGGTGCCCAGGCCATGGCTTCTTTCTCTTGTGCCCTGCATGGCCAGGGTCCAGGCTGGAATATTTCTGCACCACTGCAGGGTCATAGATGAAATCTGGAAGAGGGATGGAGCCAGGGTCACTGGAAAGGGACAGTGGCACCTCTGGGGGCACAGCAATGGATTATGTCTTGGCTCTAGAAGGGTGTGGGGTTTGGTGGGCGAAAGCAGTGGAGGGGACTGGAAGCCAGGCACCTCAGTTCTAACCCAACTCCACTTTCTGTCCAGAGCTAAATGCCTGGTAGGTTGAGTAGCCATGCCTTCCTTGCATGTCCAACTGAAGACCCAGCAGGGCTTTGACTACTGCACTGAATAGGACAGACAGACAGATGGAAACAAGCCCCCTCCTACCTCTCTGCAGTTGCACCACACAGTGGCTGCCCCTCTCAGGGTCCTGGAGCTGGAGGCCAGGCACATGGGTGAGGAAGTCCTTGGCGCTGGCATAGCCCAGGTCGCGGCCCAGCTGCTCCAGGTCAACACCAAGCTCCATTCCCATAGCCTCCTGCAGCTCACAGAGCTCTGCACCTGCTGGAGCCCCCACCAGGCCTCCTGCCAGCAGCGCCAGCACCTCATCCAGGCCTGGGACCCAGCAAGAGAGAGAGACAGGGTCTGCATGGGGTCCAGGAAGCCTCAAACCCATCTGCCCTCCTCCTGCTCCCTGCACCAGGCCTTTCATTTAGGATTTCAGGGGACCCCCCACAGCTGGGCAGCTGCATCCAGCCTGTTAGGACGCTTCTCCCACCCCCAGGTGGGGCCCCAGACCAGGAATGGTGGAGAGGTGCACTGAGTGTATGGGTCCCCATCCCCTCCTGCAGGGACGTATATTCACTAGGTCCTAGAAGGGATAGGCAGACACTTGGGTGATCACTTCCAGCAAGCACATCTGTCTCCCAGTGTGCAGGTCCCACCCTGCCAGCAGGGGCCACCCCCACAGTGAGGGGTTCCCTCATACCTCGCTCCATGTGGAGGATGCAGTGGTCCCCCTTCTCAGGCCCCCAGACCCAGACACCTGGCAGATTGCTCAGCAGCTCCAGGGTGCCCCGGAAGCCCATGTCCCAGCTCAGGTCCTCGAGGTCGACACCAAGGCCCCTCCTCACGGCCTTCTTCAGCACCCCCAGTTCCAGGCCGCCTGGGTGCTCCATGAGCCCATCTCGCAGAAGGCTCAGCACCCTGTCCAATGCTGAGTGCAAGGAGAAGGGGTATGTCAAGGTGGGACATGGTCCCACCCAGCCACCCACATCCCAGGGACCCCAGTGACAGCAGAGCTGGCCTATACTAACTGGATCACTTGGAGAAACCACTGGCAGCAGCAAGGGGACTCAGTTAGGTGAGTCCATGTTGGGGTAATCATCAGGATGAAGGTGTCACATCCCTGAGCAACATGGTAAAAATCCTTACCAGGATGCCTTGGTCCTCCCCCAGGTCCGGGAGGAATGTGGGGTCTGGTGAGTTATAGCTGGAAGCCAGGATGCCTGGGCTTACCTCAACTCTGGGGAAAGGGAATGGGCTCTCATGGTGATAGCAGCCCTAATGCAAGTGATTTTGGTGACCACCCCCTAAAGGTCATTGATTGAGACCTGCTGATTCGTGTCACCTCAGGCTCACAATAGCTTACCTCATAAATCTTTTTTTCATTTCTTTTGCATTTTTATGAGGTGCAGTGAAGCCCTCAGCCCCTTTCTCCCCATCTGGGAACATACCGCCTTGGTCCAGGTGCTTCAGGAAGAGGGTCTCCAGGCGCTGTGCTGACACAGGGGGTTCAAAGGGCTGAGGGTCTGAAGGTGCCAGGATCTCACACAGGGGCTCAATGTTGAGGGGTGGTGGAATCATGTGTGTGGGGGACAAGGTAGGTCCTGGGAGCAGAAGAGGAGGAAAGGATGAAGCTCACTGGATTGGAGTAGGGGCTAGAGGCAGGATCAGTTCTTCTACAGCCTCCCTGCACGGCCTTGGGCATCTCTCTTAGACTCCAATGCTCCACTGGCATAGGAGTGGAACACTCAACACACTATGGCAGCAGAGCCAGCCTAGAGAAAAGCCTTGGGTATACTAGGCCCAGGGGGACATAGAAGAGCTGTGAAAACCCAGGAGACAGCCCAGGTCTTCAGGATGCACACTACCTGCATAGAGGTGGAGGATGTAGGGTCCCCCCCAGAGTGGGGTATGCAGGGCAAGGTCAGGCATGGAGCGCAGGAAGTCCACAGTCCCCCTGTAGCCATGCTCTTGGCTGTAGCCCTCCAAATCCAGCCCGTATGTCTGCGCCATGAAGCTCTCCAGCTCTGGCACTGTCCAGCAGCTCCCAGGTGTCCCGTAATATCCCAGGATCAGATGCACCAGCCTCTGGACCGCTGAAGGGTCTGGAGGAAGATGGAGGAGTCAGTACCACACACTGGCTTGGAGAACTGGGGAGCCAGGGCACTTGGCTCCCATCTCACCCAATTCCTCTTCCCTTCACTATGCCTCAGTTTCCCCAGGTTCCACAAGGGGAGTTACAGGGTGGTCAAGGGCCAGGCCAACACATTGGGAGAAGTGCCTTTGCCTGCAGAGCCCAGGGACAACTCCTGCCCTTCCCTCCTCCCACTTACCTGGCACTGCCCGGTAGGCCACGACTTCCGTGCCATTGTTGGGTACCCACAGCTTGATTCCCGGCACATGGAATAGGAGGTAGACAAACTCCAAGGAGTCCCAGTGCCTGGGCAGGTCCTGCAGGACCCCCTCTGTCTGTAGGATGTGGTGCAGCCTGCGCAAGGTCATGCCACAGGGGAAGCCCCGCAGGACTTGGCCAAGAAACACGCCGGCCTGGTGGAAGGCTGCAGGGGGAAGGCAGAGCTGAGTGAAGGGTGCTGTGCCAGTCGAGGGCAGTGTGGGAGGCATTATGTTGTGGGCAGTAGAGTCTGGTGAGTTAGGTGGGTTAGACATGCTGGGAGGCAGGGATCCAGGACTCCTGGGTTCTCTCCCTCCTCTGTGGGGGCAATGTGGTTTGAGGGTTACAACAAGTGGGGATAGGACTTAGTGGTGAAAGCAGAGGTGGGTGTCGCTACCTGCGCCCTTGTTCTTCTCCTCCTTGTTGTCCGAGTTGCTGAGGGTCCCATCACTCTCCATGGGGGAGGTGGCTCTGGTCCCCAGCAGGGGTTCTCCAGCCTGTCCCAGGTGGGTGTCGATGACAAGATTCCCCAGAGCGAGGGGCCCCTTGGAGCCCAGCTCCATCACCTCCACAGCATCCCCCAGAGCATTTAGTACCTCAGTGGAGCTGAACTGTAGCTGGGTGCCATACAGGTGGTGGAAGGCCCCAGCCACATCACCCAGGGGCAAGTCAACAGGGTGCTGCTCCAGCACCTGCAGCAGTGCAGCCTTCAGTGCCACAGCCTCCTGGGTCATGGTGTTCTGCAGGAAGAAACAGAGAGATGGGTTTAGACAACCAGGCCTCAGTTATGGGGGAAGGAGTGGAGACAGATCATCCAAGGGCAGGGGGTCAGCCCACCACAGTGGGGGTCATGACCTGAGGTTCCCACTGTGCAGAAAAGCAGAAGAGACCAGATGCCTGGAGTCTATTCTTAGCTGTGGGACAGGAACGGGGCCTAGTGCATTAGAGCAGCGGGGGCTAGGAGCCAGGACTGATCCTGCATTTTATTCTGGCTCTTTGGACCAAGAAGGAAGAAGTAACCAACTGTTACCTTGTCATCTCACTACACTTTTTGCAAGTTGAAACAAACCTCCTTTCTTGGTCACAAGCCCTGGGCTGGGACAAACACTCATTGTCTCCCCTCTCCTCCACTTTTGAGGTTTCCCTAGCACAGAAACTTAAAGATAGAGGAGTCCCTAACTAGCTCCCCCTGCCATAAAAGACCCCAAGTGCTTCAGGAAGGAGATCAGTGTCGCCAGCCCCATCTTCTGTCTGGAGAAATGGGGTATTGGCCAAGAAAATCTTTATTGGTACATTCACAGTTTCTTTCTGCTGTCCCACTGTTTGTCCTAAAGAGTGGACCAAGGTTTGCACTGGGATAACTCCTTATCCCCACAAGCCTCAGCCCTCATCCTAGACCCCACAGCTGCTACAGGTAATTTTCCTTTGGGTTGGGAATAAATTCTGGGTTCCCCCTTCCATAAAGGGGCCAGCTTGGAATATCACTCATGCCAAGACCACGCTTTACTACAGACACACAGTAAATTATCAAATAACAAAAATATTTATTCTATAGGAGAGAAGAATTATACAGAAGATTCTGAATGCATAAATTTTGAGGCAGAATACACAAAATCAGATAAACTTTCTCACTCTCTTTTCCCCACTACAATACTATCCTCCAGAAAGTCCTATTACCAAAGAGACAGCACAACCATCAGAACCAGTCACTGTTAAAATTGAAAGGTGACCTTGTGGAAGTATGCATCATCTAACCACAGAAGAAAAGTACACAGCAGTGCTAGAGGTAGAATCCATGGTTAAAGCTTGAGGACAGGTAGCCCCTGATGATTTTAATATATTTGTAGCATGGGTCTTAAAAGAGGTGGAATTAATCCAGCAGCACCAATTATCACCAGAGGACTGAGTGACAGTGCAAAAGGCTCTAGGACCTTCCCTATGGCCCCAAGCCCAGATAATATTAACCATGGGAGGAGCTATGGGAGGAGCCACAGCTTTTTCCAAGTATTTGTTTAATGTTAGATCACTTGTGGTTGAACTGGCTGATATCAGGGTGATCCCAGAATTACGACCCAGGGAGGCAGCAGACAGACTGTTTACGTGGTGAACTTTTTGAACAACTCCCACACAACACCTGCAATGGGGGGGATAAGGCATACTGAAAGGCATTTTTACATGCTATAACTGAGCAGTGCAGAGAGTACGTGCTGCAGTTTACACCAGACCCTGCTGATACATGGGATATGATTTTACAAGTGGAAACAAAATAAACAAGGTCTTTCAGTACAAGCAGCCAGAATATTCAGTCAGGACCTAAGAGTGGGTGACCTGGATGCGGTTTTGTTCAGAGAAGCAGTGCTCAGGGTCCAGGGTGAAGGAACTGGATTCCTTTTAAACAGATCAAGGCAGAAAAGGAGCAGCTGGAAGAGAAATGCCAGAGATTACAGAAGATGGTGCTGCAGGTGCAGTCCAGAAGTGGATGACCAAGAAAATCCTTTGCAGAAGAGAAAGTATAGTTGCACTTGCTCTGCTTCAGAGTCAGAACCAGTGATGGCGATTGATGACTTTTAAGATCAAGCAGTCAGGGACCATTGTGTCAAGTGCAACCTAAGGGCACCCTAAAAGGATGCCCAAGCCCCCACCTCATCTTCAGCTGACCTTACTAGTGCCTCTAAAAAGGACAGCTTTTAATTAAAGGCCTGGCTCTAAATTTTGATTAAATGACAACCCCAAATCATAAAGATATATATAGGCAGCATAACAAAATGGAACATAATCCATATAATGATAAGGATTATATAAATGAATACAATTTATTACTGGCTTTTGAATGAAACCAAACACAAGGTCAATCACATCAAACTTGGGAAAGATGCCTCTGTGGGAGATGCTCTATAGCCCCAAATCATTCCCACTTCTCAGGTGGGTTCATGACACAAGGCATAGGGCAGAAGTGGGGGAACCTAACCAGCCCACATCTTGCCACCAGCCAGTAGCAGAGCCAAGGGTAGCGCCCACATCCCCTGAGCACCAGTCCAGCGCACCTCCTCAGGCTACAGTGCTGATGCCACGTGACCTGTCTAAGGGAACCCATATCCACATCCCTGGGCCTGTTCAGGGCTGCAGCACCTAAAATAGAAACTCCCCCCCCCCAACCTCATTCATGCCCTGCTGGTTCCTAATAAGCAGCTCTATGGGACCCATCAACTGCTTTCAGAAGCAAAAAGGTCAGAAGGGTAAAGCACCAGATATACAGCTTCTCCTCATGTGTGCATCTGGCTGACTTGAGAGGGGGAACACCAAAATCTCACAAAAATAAGACACCCTGATCTCACATATGTGAATCACCAAGGGTGAGGAATAGCCCACTTTGCTAAACTGGTTTTAAAAAGTATTCTGCAGGGCACAGGGATGCCTCTTAGCTTCAAGATATCACGGGAGACTAGCTCACAATTCAGCTATGCACAGAAAAGATGTTCAACCTTATAAACCAATGGCATCATAGCATTGTGAATATAGCAGCTAACCCAACAGGAATAGTTAAAAACATAACATGTAATTATAAATAAAAAAAAATGTTATAGATTTCATATAATTTATACTTTAATGTATCCATATATATGGCTACATTATATATGTATATGTGTATATACATATATGCACACACACGCTAATTTAATATTTTTTTATATATATACTGTGTATGTGTATGTATATATATGGTATGGGGTGCACCGATATATCAGTTGGCTATTGGATCGGCACTGATAAAAAGAGAAATGATGTTATCAGCTATCTGGTATTTTTTGGTCATTGTAGCTGATAATTACAGCCACATGCCCAGAGCACCCTGTGGCAAGTATAGTTCAGTCCCTGTGCCCAGCCACCAGCCTGAGCCCGTAGCAGAATGCAGGTCCTGGCAAGCAGCAGAAGTGGGTACTGGGGAGCAGTTACAGGGCACTGGGATCAGCAACAAAGGGACCGTTGCCAGCTCTTGCTGTTGCTGCCATGGCAATGCCGCGTGTGCCGCAGGGACCCAAGTGCCAGGGCTGCTGCAGAGATATTGGGCTACGCCTGGGTGTGGTAACATTTCGCTTCACTCGGCACCGGGCACCTTTGCAAAAGTAACTTCTCGCTGGCGCCCATGGGAGCTTGGCTGCACGGGGCCCACTGGCACTGAGGAAGCAGCGTGCTCTGGGGCTCCAAACGTATCTGGTGCTACTGTCTGTATGTGTCCAACCTGCACACCTGGGACAGCAACACAGGCTGCACGGGAAGCGGGGCTGCAGGTACAAGCCGTGGGCATGAGTGTGACATGCACTGGAATAAGACAGTCACTGCCTTCCTCACTGAGGGCTAGAGCAAGCAGAAGGCGTGTGCGTGCTTATGTTATACATGCAAAACAAATGAAAAAAATATTTATTGATGCCAGTAGTTTAAAATGCCTTGCACTATTACTCAATAGAGGTTATTGGATCAGCATCAGCCAATACGGTTGGTTAATCATCACCTATTGGTATCGGCCAAGAAAATCTTTACTGGTGCACTCCCTAATATATATATATTTTGGGTGTGTGTGTACACCCCCCCAACTATGTGTGTGTGTGTGTATGTGTGCGCGCGCGCACACACACACACAAATAGATCAGTAAAGATCAATGATGTCCAAACAACCCAGCCCTGTTGATTCAGCTGGCAAGCGGGGTCAGTTTGCAGCTGGACCTGGTACACAGGGCCAATCTGCAGACTGACTCCAACTACTGGCTCTGTGTGCCAGATCTGGCCATGGGCTAGCCCTGAGCATTGGCTTGATTCAGCCTGCGCTCAGCCTAATTGTTGTGTAATGCATGGGGCAGAGCCATGGCAATTAACACTGCCACTACTTCCCCATAACATATTTCTGGGGAGGCCAGATGATATAGCTCTGTGAGCCATATGCAGCCCACAGGCTGTAGGTGTAGCACTGCTGATATAGAAAGATAGTGTGTGTACAAGTACACACACACACAAATAAATAGCAGAAAGAAACAGACTGTGTGTATATATAAGCACTTACATATATATACACATGCACACACACAAATACATATAAACATGCATACGTTACATATACACACACACACTATACTTACAGTATTTTAATCTGTAATTATTTATGCATAATTTCAAACATTTATAACAATCTCTCTTTCATATATAATCATTTGAGGTAAATAACTGAACACATCAGCCTAATGGTAGGCTGTACTGTTGCTGATCTAAGAAATGGCTCTTCTGGGACCAACCTGGAGGACACGTTGGTGAAAGAGGTAGGCAGCAAAGCACTGGATCAACTTACTGGGGGACTGAGAATAGTCTTTATTCAGACTCTCCCAAACAGAGACATTTGTCACCTAAAAGGAATGAGAACAGAACTTTGGCAGAAGGCAAGCTGGGGCCTTGCATGAGCTACATGCTGCAGTAGCCTCTCATATCAGTCTGACTTTGGGCTAGAATCCCCAATACATATGAGTACAAATACTTTCCATGATGTTTTTTATATACAAGAATATAAATGATCAGCTACATATGGACCACTTTGTTATAATACTCCCTGCCTCTAACAATACCCACAGCAGACACAGCTCTATTAGGAATGATACAGCAAACTGATTATTGACGCCTTTAGTGTAAACACACTTCTTTAATGAACTTTCATCAGGCCACGGCAAAAAGGGATTGTTAGAACGAGGTTGTGCTGTGCATAAATAATTATAACAACAGAACCAGGTAGTATGTCTCTATTTGCAAATTTATAATATTTAAAATAATTCATAATTAAATGTGTTGTTATAAAGAATTATTTATAGCTTATTTTAATATTAACAGTTTAAATTAAAGGCGTTATACAAACTACAATGTAGTTAATAAATAGTTATAATTACCTGTACTTTTGTTTCAAATTTATTTGTATTGCCACTTAAAGATGAAGGCAGCACACAATGATAAATATTATGGAATCAAAGAAAACTAGGGCTGGAAGGGACCCCTGGAGGTCATCTAGGCCAGTGGTTTTCAACCCTTTTCATTTGCAGACCCCTAAATGTCTTTTCTAGGATCTGGGTTTTTGGTTGTAGTCATGTTGGTCTAAGTACGTAGGCAGGCAACGTTCTTTAAGCAGATGTGATATCTAGGATCTGAAACTTTGTTTTCATAGCCATCTTTTGTTGACCCTTTAGACACAGTCCGTGGACCCTCAGGGGTCTGCCGACTACAGGTTGAAAACCATGGATCTAGCCCAACCCTCACAATTTAGAATCGTCACATAATATACAAAAGTTGTAGAACATTATTCACAAAAAACCTGCAGAAAGCTACTTACAGAAACAATTGTGGGCAAAGGTGATCTGCCATTACTAAATGTTCCTAATAAAACCTGTAGCTCTAACGGATCTATTTGTACAGATGTGGCCCGTGGAGAAGGGTGACAGGCAACTCTGAAGAGAGGTAAAACGAGTGCTGTGAGTCTATAGCAAACACCTGAATCACTGCCACTACAAACCCGGGAACTAGGCCGGCAGGGTGTGGGCGTCCCGTGGGAGCAGGGCACGCAGGGGGGCTGGTGCGTTCAAGCCGGTGGGTCCCACAGGAGATGCTGTCCGCCTCAGTGTCCCGGGGGCGGGGGGGACTGCTTGGACAGGGCTTGCGGGGTGCAGGCCGAGCGGGGCCGGGGCAGAGGCCCCTCGTCACACGCGGGCGGCAGGGAGGAGAGGTGCCGAGCGGGGCGGCGCCAGGGAGCGGGTGCTGCTGAGGCAGGGGAGGGCCCCCGCACAACCGGCCTCGGAGCAAAGGGGACCCTGTCCCGGCCCTTGGGTGCCAGGCCGCAGGGAGCGAGGGGCTCTTCCCCCGCCCCAGGTCGGCCCGGGCAGGCGCGGGGCGGGGGGCACCGCCACCCCGATCCCGCGCGACCCGGAGTGACTCCGGAGGGCCCCGCAGAGAGCAGGGGGCGCTGCCACCCCCGCGCCACGGGCTGGGGACTGAGGCGAGGCCGGGCGCCGGCTCCTACCTGCAGCGCAGACGGCGAGAGACCCCGGCCCGCCCCCCTCGCTCCTTTCTCTTTCGTTTCCGCCAGACCCCGTGTCACCCACGTGGGCGGGGCGGGCTCAGCCTTGCCTGGAAACAGACACCAGGCGGCGCTGCCTGAGGCCGGGCCCGGACGCGGCTGTGACACGAGCGCCTGGGCCACAGGGCGGGGCCTGGCCACGTGGGGGGTCGTGAGCTGTCCTGAGGCGGGCTGGCTAGTCCCCCGGAAGGGAGAGCAGGGCGGGAGGCAGGAGGCTGCTTAGCCCCAGCCGCCTCACGGCCACGTGTCGCCGTCCCCGTGGCCCTGCGTGCTGAGCGGTTGAGCACAGGAGTTGGGGGCACAGCCTCCAAATCAGGATGTCCTCGACCTTACGTCGGGCCTGGGCTAAATGGTGGCTGCCTCCTGCAGCCAGTTTCCATGAAGACCCCAGAAGTGGGGGGCCATGGCAGTGTGGGGCCAGGGTTTCCGTGGGCAAGGGCCGAGCAGTGTTGGCAGGGCACGCGGCTGGGCGGGAGTTGCTCTAGGGCTGGGGTCTTGCAGCAGTGAAAGTGCAGGCCAGAGCTGGGATCCACTGCCTGGTGCCCCGGACAGCCAGCGGTGTGCAGAGAGCGGATTACAGCTGTTCCTGTTCAGGGGCTGGACTTGATGATCTCCCAAAGTCCTTTCCAGCCCTAAATGGCTATGAAATGTCTATGAAGCTCTGGACCACAAGGTCACCATAGCAAAATCCCAGCTCCGGCCCCGAGCAGCTCCCCGCCCTACTAGGGCCCCGCTGGCACTGCTCAGGCTGGTGTCCGTGGAAACTAGCTGCAGTGAGGTGGGCAGGGGCTTCTGGGGAAAGGAGTCCACTGCAGGCCTGATCCTGCCTGTGGGCCAGACTTTGCCCACCCCCACTTTAAATGCTGGAGGCTGCAAGTGGGAAAGGAACAGGGGAAAAACCCGCTGGTCATAAACATCTCACGATCCCTTTTGGCATCCACTCTCTGCCACTGTGTGACACAGGGAGTGCTGGTATTGAGAGTTTAGCCACCAAATCCATACAAGAGGGTAGACCACATCCACAGCGGTCACAGTCTTGTGCTTGGCTTGCTCAGGGTAGGTGACGGCATCACGTACCACGCTCTCCAGGAAGACCTTCAGCACTCTGCAGGTCTCCTCACAGATGAGACTGGAGATGTGCTTCACACCGCCAGAGCCAGCCAGGTGGCAGTTGGCCAGCTTGGTGATGCCCTGGATGTGGCAGAGAACTTTGTGGTGGCACCTGGTGCTGCCTTTCCACTGCCCCCTGCCCCCTTTGCCACATCCAGGTTAGGCATGCGCAGGCTGTAGAGGGCTTGGGCAGGAGAGACCTATGGGCTCACCCAGGAAATGGCAGTTGTTATGTCTTCACCCATGCCATGTACCCCTCGGCACATGAACGACGCGTGCCCCTGGAGGCTGGGGGGGCACGGTGACCGCCCGCTGGTGGCAGTGGTGGGGGTGTGGTGGTGGCAAGTGGGGAGCACCCGAAGGGAGCCATGGCAGTGTCGGCGGCAGGCCGAGTGAGGAGCCGCAGCAGTGTTGGCGGTGGGGGATGATAAGCTCCGACTAGTGGTCGGTGACCACCCGCAGACACCTCTGGCAGTGTCGGCAGTGGCCAGTGGCAATCAGGGACCACCCACAGACATCACCGGTGGTGTTGGCAGCAAGGGAGGTGGGGGTGGCTAGTGGTGACTGCCTGCAGGGGTGCACCGCAAATTCCAGAGGGTGCATGTGCACTCACGTACACCCCCTATGCGTCGTCAGTGCTGTTCCCCTTCAAGTGCTGGGGATGGAACCCAGGTGTCTGGGCACCCAGTTCCACCCTGCTCTGATACACTATAGCCTGCGCTCCTCCCAAAGCTGGGATGGAGCCCAGAGTCTTGATTCCCTTTTCTAGTCTTTTACTGAGGGGTCTATTGCATACAGGGGTGACACACACACAACCCAGGACATGCCATTCCTGGGAGGAGTGAGGTCTGATGGGTTAGAGTAGTAGAGGCTTGGAGTCAAGACTCCTGGGTTCTCTCCCAGTTATTAGAGGTGAGTGGGGTCCCATGGATTAGAGCCAGGGGAGGTGGAAGAGAGTTGGGAGCTTGCATGTCTGGGTTCTGTCCTAGCTCTGGGAGAAGAACAGGGTCTGCTGGCATAGAGTAGGGCCAAGCTTGGGGGCCAGGACACCTGGGCTCTCTCCAGCTCTAAAAGGGGAGGAGGATACAATGGGTTAGAGCAGGGGCCTAGAAACCAGGATGTCTGGGTTCTCTCCAGAGGGGAGAGGGATGGGTAGGGGAGCAAGTCTGGTGAATTAGAGCAGAATAGATTCAGAATCAGAATGAGAGCAGCCCCCTCCCCTACTCTCACGTGACTTGGGGTAGGTGATGTTTAAGACATCATCATCCCACAGCTGGAATTCATTCTCCACAAAGCTGACAAGGTGGCAGGTAAATCTCACTGGAGAAGGGGATCCCTCTGTAAGTGAAGCCACTACTGTGCACCCTGGCCTGTGGCTGTTAGCTCTGTGGGAGGAACTCAGCAGGGCTGATGTGGGCTAGCAAGCACAAGGCAGCTGCTGGGAGAAGGGGCCTGGTATAAGAGGCACAACCATGAACTGAGGATAGGCTGGCCTGTCAACCACAGCCATTGCAAGATCATCAACAGCTGTGTGATTAAAATGAAACTCAGCTATAACAATGCAGATTCTTGTAGGTTGGAACACAAGTTGTAGTGGGGAAGATATGACACCAGAAAGCTCAAACTATTTGGAGAATTTCTCAATTGTTCCAAGCACACACTATCCCATGTGACTGCAAGCAGCCACACCCAGTGCAAGGCTCTTCTAATATATACTGGAGTTCTTGCAACCAAATGGAGTCCCTTAGTAATGCACAGAGCTCTATGCATGAAACACCAGGGGCATTTATACATGTACCTTTTTGTCCCACAACACGCCGGTCAGGCAGGTCAGAGCAGACTCAATAATCGAGTCTGCTCTGCATGCAAGCTGACATGCACTGTACTGTTTCTGGATGGGAAGAAAATGTTGAGGCATGAAGCCACCATGTTGGTGGATACGGGTGCCCCGTTTATGGTGGTTTTGGCAGAAACTGACCTGTTCCAAAATTGGGAAGTGAGGACATGGAGAAACCTTGAGGGTTTTAATGGAGCAAATTCCCGTATTGGATTTTCTGACTTGAGGAAATTTTGGATTGGACAGAAATCAGGAAGGGCTTCATTGGGCTTGCTAAATTGTCTGGGATAGGGATAATTGGCAGTGATGTCCTCACAAAATTTGGGAACTTGTTTGACTATCCAAATGATTGTTTATGGATCAGTCCTACCAGGCCTGAGATCGACAGCCGACTATACATCGTACCTGCTCGACATAGATGTGCTGCAGTTAAGGCAAAAGAGGAACTGAGTTTACCAACTGATCTAGAAGAAGACATGAGAAAGATGTATATGGAGTTCCCCAGTGTTTGGGCTGTACATAAACTCCAGTGCGGAAGAGTAGCAGCAGACATACGCATAGCCAGATCAGACCCTGCACCGCAAAGACAGTACCACTATCCATGGGAGGCTGAAGCAAGTGTGATGCAGACAATACAATAATTAATATAGCAAGATGTGATTATAGAAATACAATGAGGATGTAACTACCCAGTGTGGCCTGTTAGAAAATCAGATGCGACCATCTGGAGGTTAACGATTGATTATTGGGCTCTGAACCACATAACACCCACATTGGCTCCTGTAGTGGCCTGTTACCCAGAAATAATGGCTCAAATAGCATATAGTGCCAAATCCTTTACCGTCCTATATTTGAGTAATGCTTTCTTTGCTCTTACTCTACATGAAAGCTGTTGGTATAAATTTGCATTTTCAGTTCAGGAGTCACAATTTATGTTTAAATGACCGCCATGGGGATTCCATAACTCCCCTTCCATCTGCCACAAGCATGTGTGTAAGATGTGGCTGGAACTCTCTGAAGAGGACAAGAATTCGATCATCTCTTATGTGGATGACATTGATTACTGCAAGGACGAAAAATCAATGTCTAAATGGAACTCGGACAGCGCTGCAGATTATAGAACAAACAGGGTTTATGGTCAACCCAGCCAAGGCCCAGCTGTGTAAAAGTACTGTTCAGTACCTTGGGTTAGAGCTAAATGCGCAGGGAAGGTGCCCAGATGTGGATCAAATACAACTCATTCGTAACTTGCTGATACCGAGCAATATAACCACCCTATGCTCATTCTTAGGGTTAGTTGGCTTCCTGAGAGATTTTATTGAAGGCTATGCATCAAAGGCAGCACCATTATACTGACTGTTAAAGAAGGATGCACCATGGAAATGGTCAGACACTGAAACAAAGGCAATTAAATACTTAAAAGAAAGCATGATTAAGGCTCCTGCATTGTTTCCAAATGTCTCAAAACCATACATTCTGGAATTAGCATCAACTGTGGATAGTATAGGTGCCATTCTATTGCAAGAACCTGGGACTGGCAGATGGCCAGTGGCATATGGATTGAGAATTTTGGCCGACATGGAGCGCCAATACTTGCCATGTGGGAAAGAGGTACTTGCCCTGGTGTGGTCCATCAACAAGTGGGAGTATCTAGTGGGACTGGTGTCTATTACCCCCGAGGACACGCCACTCACCAGCAAAATATGTAATATCAGGAAAAATCAAAGATTCTCGGGTATCGACCCCTAGAATCGCACAATGGACGTTGGCCCTTTTGAACCATAACGTCAACATCAAAACTGTAACAGAGCTACCAATTATGCCGTGTGGAATCATTGTAAATAAGGGTAATGATCTAAATTATTCAACAAATCACAAATGTCCAACCAGGGGTGCTGTAGATCAGATGGACAGAGTTTTTGTGCCAGGTACCCATTACGAACCCGAGGAGGTAAACCAGCTGCAGTATATATGGGTTACTGATGGAAGCTCAGTTTACATGAAAGGACAGGCTTCGCAGCTGTATTGGTGGACACTGCAGATCACACAGTTCTCCAGGCAATCAACGGACATTGTAAGTTTA